GTATATGTATATTTATATACGTAAACATACACGCATACATACACCGGGGGTACCTGTGCATATGTATTATACACTCGCTAGCTGCCTACAAAATACAGTGGTACATTACAAATTCATTTCCCTCCTCTGCCTCTTTTCCCCTCTTCTCCCCTTTATATCGTCATCACTTGCAAACAGCTTAGATATATTCTTTTTTTTTTTTATGTATATATATTATATAATAGTATCTCCTAGTTGGTTTTATTCTGCGTAGTGTTTTTCCGTTTCATGTTAATTAAGTACATATCTTTAGAGCGGGATAATTTTACGAATTTTTTTCGCTTCTTCGTCTTAATGATTTCTTGATTATCGATCGAAAGAGACTTTTAATTTCTCGATATTTCTTTCGGAATTGCGAGAAGATATCCGCATGGATTAAGGCACCCCTCATTTTACACACAATGTTTAAATTGTCAAATATTTATAATCCGACTTTTATAGACAACTGATGTATATATCGATATTAAATAATACATTCTTTCACACAGGTATTATTGCGCATTTTAAAATATCCATATATCGAGGAAAAGGGGAGATGGTTACTTCAGTAAATGTAGAAAATATTTTTTTAAAATGTAAAGATCCCTTTAAATCATAAATGTTTCGAGTGATGAATAAAATAGAAGAGAGGAAGTGATGATCGAGTCAACGAAAAAAAAAAAACTTGTGTAAAAAAGGGGATACCCCATACATGTACGATTGTCGAATATAATTATATTTTGCGAGATATCTCCTCTTCCCATACCGATCTTTTAGCTTGGTTACCTCGACATCGTTCACTCGAAGAGGGTGTATCTAGTCATTACGGTGTCGCGTGTACGATGATCAAGTATTATGATATATATCGCGTGTACGACGATCAAACGAAACAGGAATCCCATATCTCCCAAACGATATAATTCACCGTGCACTTATTACGAATGCTTATGCTCGAAGATGAAGCATACAAACACGTGTGTACATTTACATAAGCTAATTTAGACACAGTCGTAAAGGCCAGTCTCAATCTTTCCTCGATTTTGCCGGGTCCTCCGAAAAACTTTCGCTGTGGAAGTCGAGTGTCTTGGTGGATCGTATCGATACCTTCACTCTGTGTTGCGTTATAGATCTTTATAAAATACGAGATTATACATTACGCGCGAGATGAGATAATCGCGTTGCAATAATGATATCACGTTAGGAAAATGCTATAGAAAGGAAAAGTAGTATAAAAGCAAGCGGTACACACACCGGTATTTTACGTATATAAGTGTATATGCGATCTGTGGTGTTATCAGGAACAGATAAACGATATCATACGCGTCCCCATCTTTTTCTCGCACGGTCACCGACCTCCGTTTCCTTTCCCCTCGTTTCGAACAATCTGCATCTGCTCACGCGCGAATCGGAGAAATGCGTAAGAGAGGGTATTTTCGTTATAGAATAGCCCCCCTTTCTTCCTCTCGGAGGTAAGGAAACAGAAAAAGGGAATTTGCTCCTCGAGGCTCGCGGGCGCAACGAGAAAGTAACTGCATTTAGCAAAAGTGCCGATGACGTTTCGCGACCATCCGGGTTGATTTGCGCGGGACCGCTCGTTGACGAAAGGTTTCCCGAAAAAACTTTTTCGACGCCGAATCCCTTATAAAAATGATATGATATGCTCGTTGAAAAAATAAATTGTTCATTATAGTTCTCTATATGAATATAGATATATCCGTACACGAGTTCCCTTCGGTACTAATTGTAAGTGTCTCCGACAAACGATTCGGTATAGATTCTACATTATTACGCAAACACACGCGTAAAGTCCCTTCATTATTTCACGGCGAGTAGAACGAATGCGCAGTCGTCGTGTCGCCATTTCGAAAGAGAGAAAGATAGAGAGAGAGAGAGAGAGAGAGAGAGTTAATGTACCCTGCAATCATTGCACGTGTGTGACGCGTTTTCCGATACGAAAACCATCGACAGGCATTACATATCGAAGTTCCTGACAACCCGCCGGACGACGACGACGATGACCACAAGTCTCCCGGAAACCACGTCCGAACGAAAGCGCGACGTCGTCCGATCCTTAACAGCCGTAAAACGTCTAAAATACAATCGAAACTTTTTGCGATACCGGCGAAAGCTGTGATAATCGTACAAGTAAACTGTATGGGGAGCCAAACGCACTGTAAAAAATTGTTGTTGTAAATTTACAACTATTATAGTGGGTAATATTGAGACCGACTATCAAAGCTGTACATTTGCATACATTAGTAAATTTACATTTCATAGATAAAATTATTATCTTAAATGGCAAGTAAGCATCTGGTACTAATAAGTTTACATGTTAGAAGTAGATCTCTAGAAATGTTTATGTAATAATACATTTTGTATATGTATTTATACAATTTCACGTATTAAATTTAATTTAAAATTACATACATAATTAGTGTAACAATTACGCTATTTATAACGAAAATATATAAATTCATGTACTTTTGCAAAAATTAATTATTTTACTCTTTATTGTGTAAATATTCGTTTATTAAGTGTAATTTTTAAATATTATATAAATGTTACAAAAAATTGTACATTTACATAAAATTCAAAAATTACACTTTTAGCCTTGTTAATTTCTCATCAAATATAAACGAATATTTACACAATAAAGAGTAAAAAAACTAATTTTTGTAAAAGTGAACGCGACTTTATATATTCCCGTTATAAATAGCGTAATAGTTACACTGATTATATGTGTAATTTTACACTCTTTTTACAGTGCGGTACCGCAAAAAGTTTTCAAACAACAACAAAGAGCGGCCACCGAGAAGAAACGCGCCGCGGCCTGAGATTAGCTGTTGAAACACCTAGACGTATGGAGCGGAGAATTCAATGTACTACTGCTTAAAAGGCACGTAAAACTCAGTTTCCTCTGTAAAAAGAGAGAGATTGCACAATATGACGCGTCTTGCATCGGGGGGGGGGGGGAAATAAATGAGAGAGAGAGAAGCACGCTCGGTAAGAGCTCCTCCAGTCGCTGCGCATATTACTTTAGAATAATAATCGTCTACTACTCGAGACGAGACTCTCGCCACGGAATAATGAATGGACGCTGTATATATTTATATGTATGCATAAATATATAAAGCACGTGTGTGCGTGTCGCGCACAAAACCCCTGCGTGAGGTACTTGCCGTTAATTCGTGAATACTTGCAAGAATCGAGAGAATTTTCGATGCGAAAAAGAAAGATATATATATATATATATATATATATATATATATATATATATCCTTCCTTATATGTGTGTGTGTGTGTGTGTATAAATCCGCGTCGAAGCCGATTCTTCACGTGTCAAATAATTTTAATTAATTAAAAACGAATATTTATACCTCGGAAAAAAATTACGTAACATATGAAGCATCCGCTCTCTCTCGCGTTGCGCATATTATTCTCTATTGTTGAATATTAATTTAATTTTCCCCGAGTACTCACGGATTAGTTGGCGGATACGTCTTTTAATTAATTAAGCGGCCGCTTTTTTTTATTTCCGTATGCGCACACATTGTATACGGATATGATGCTATACCGATTACTTTAACGACGTTGAAGCACTATCATAAGATGCAAGTGAGATAATGTCTTTACTACCTTTTTCTCCCTTTTTTTCCTAATGAAAAAAAGAAGCGAGACTTATGTGTGTAAAAAAAAAAAAAAAGAAAATTATTGAAGGAATTAACGACTTAAAAATAAAAGTGGAAAATTGGGCAAGTTATCGTATGGCCCAGCCCGACTCGCGTTCTATATTGAAACGAGCGGAGCTTTCAGCTTGTTTCACGACTACCACGCGTCTTTCGCCGCCGGTTTAATAGGTTTACATGAGCTCGTAGCTCGCGCGAGCGCTTTTGATGAAAAATATGAAAGACGCAATTATTGCAAGAGAATTACATTCATGAGATCAAATGCACGTGAATCTTAGATAAGAGAGTTTAGTCGATAAGACGAGGAAGAATCTAGAATTGCCTCAACGCTGTTTCTTCGCATTTAAAACTATCGGCTACCGGGCCGTCCTGCCAGTAAAAAATAATAACGAAAAACAAACTATCGGTATAAAGTGGCTAGATATAATCGTAGCGTTAGTACGAGTAATAATAAAGTAGCAATAATTGTAGGATATAGAGTAAAAAGAAGAAAGAATAGAGTTAGGGATGAAAACAAGTCCCCTCGTTCTACTCTACCAATGATATATCAAGAATATAAATTAATAATTTTGCCGTAAATACATATTCCCGGCAAATGTTTAAGTATCTTCTGCGTGTGTTTTCGATTCTACCAAACATCGACGTGCGTTCGTAGGTAGAAAGAGTTTTAACTATTCGATAAAGCGTCCCGCACTCTTACAAATTTTTCCTGGCGCCTCAGACGAGTACCAACCGAGTGCCTTGTGTGTTTTATCGTCACTTCATTAATAATTATATCGACGTCGTCTACGAAAGGGGGACGGATGTAATGCGATAACGCTTTTCCGCGCAGTAAAGAGGGATAATAATCGTTTAGAGAATCGATCGAGCGGTACGAAAAGCACGTTTGGAACGTTTTAAATCGTAGTACTTTATATTCTGAAGATTCGAAAGCGTAGTAAATATTCTAATTTCTTCGACGCGTCGTGTGATATCTAGGATACGCGGGAAGAGAAGTTTCAACATCTTTCGGACGCAAATCGCGCTCCGAGAAACGCCCGTACACAGAGAAAAATGTATACTGTATTCAAGTAAACATTATTTATTTCAAGTATATCATAAGTTTTACCACAAGCATTAAATTTTAATTGAATATATTCTGAATTTTAGTAAGTGCAGTATTTTAGTCAAGGATATTAAATTAAAAGAAAAATTTCGTTTGCTTACTACAAGAGTTGACGTAAAGCAAGTTTGATTTTTCTTTGATACAATTTTACAATATTCTTGAAGAGAAAATAAATTCTTATTTTGGGTGCATGATAATGAGATTTTCCAACACTTGTGATGAGTATATTCGAAGATTATTATCAAGAATATATTCTTTGTTGAAGAAAACTATTACTTGAAAAGAGAAAAATAAATTGAGCAATCGCTTTTCTTGGCAGTAGAATGATATTTTTCTCTGTGTAGATAATGATCCGAAACTACTCCCGCGGAATAAACTCGCGAAACTCGCAGACAGAGCTTCGCGGGATACCCCCACGTTGTGGAGAAACGGTGGAGGAATTTTACGGAAAGCGGCACGCGGCCGGTACTCTTCTCAATGCCAAAAACCGCGAAGAAAGGGGGGGATGTGAATGCTCAGTGTAAAGATAGTAGGGTGATTTAAACGTCACGATGATCCCATTCCAGATCGTGCGGCGAATTGTGACGGCGGTGCCGGCCGTTGCCGAGCTCGCAATCGTTCTCGCAGTCGGAGCTGTCAAGGTCGTCATCCCGGAACGAGCCGTCCTCGGAATCGGAGCTGCCGGAGTCGTCTACGTCCTCGTCCCGCTGGCTCTGGTGGTGTTGGTCCTGCTCCGTCAACCTGTCCATCGGATTCACGGTGATGGCGAGAGCGGAGTCGTCCCAGGCCATCTCCGTCTCGGCGGCGAGCTCGTCACCAGCGGATCGTCGTCGTTTGGCCGCCCCGCGGACCCGCGCGGCGCCCACTACCGCCATCAGTAGTAGAAAACCGATGCAAGCGGCGGCCACGATGGTCACAGCGTGGCTGCTACCGGTGCCACCGATAGTTCTACTGCCCTCGTGAAGCGCGGCTGTAGCGTATTCCTCTGTCAGATCGGCATGGTGCGGCGAGAGCTGCGCATGACCGGGTGCCGGTTCCACGATTCTGGCGATAGGCGGTTCAGCAGGTGTCGGCGGAACGGTCGTCTTCTCCTTGGGATGAATCACAGCCAGGGTCTGCACGTATTCGTTGCTGGCGAAGCGACCGCTCAGTTCGGAGCAAGTGAGCTTGAAGACACGATCGAGATAGTAAGCCGGCTTGCGGTTCGTGTACATAATGAGACGGATCAGCTGCTGGTAATTGTAGGGCGAATCCGCGCCCGAGAGGACGACGCCGTCCCGATCAACGCGGGCGGAGATGTCGTGGAATGCGAGCAGGGCGTCGCCGGGTAATCCCAGACTTTCGTGATCGGGATTAAGGCTGGGATAAACGCTGACAGCGCAGGCGTCTAGTCGGGCGGCAGATCCAGCGGTGACACGGGCATCGGGAAATACGCGCACTCCCAGCCGGAAATCTGCGTACTCTCTGGCCACGTAACCGGTGCCGTTGACAGTGATACCCGGTCGAGGTGGTGGCAGTACAGTAACGTAGGATTGCACGGTTGGCACCGGTAGAGGCGTGTTCTCGCTGCCCTCGCAAACGATTGTCGTGTCAAGGCGGAAGTTACGGCGACCGGGTGTCGGGAAACGTCGAGAGTTGGAATAGCCGATACGACGCAGCAGGGTCTCCACGTTCGTGCGATTGTCGCCGTCGATACGCACCTCGGTCAGGTCGGAATTGGTCAGCAACTGAGTGCCCGGTTGCAGCAGATCCATGGGCGGCACGTGGATGCCCTCCTGGCAACGTCGCAGGCAGGAGAGCACTTCCGGCTTCTCGTTTCGGCCGACTAAGACGGAGAGGCCGGCGAGGTAACCACGGAAATGGTGTTTAGTCTTGTTTTCGGAACCTTGCCAGCACGCGCCGACTACCAGGGTGGTGTTGACGCCTTTGGCCGGGTGTAGAGGCCAGTCGTCGATAACCTCGGGATTCTTCTCGTCGGCGTGCCACTCCTCGCCGTCGACGTAAAGATTAACCCGCGGGAAGTCCACCTGAATCGCGTAGTGGTGCCACTTGTCGTCGCATACCTGGCCGAGCTTCCAACGCCACTCGGCGGCGCGGAAGATGTTGGGATCGCCCTCGGAGAAGTCGCGTCGCAGGAGCAAAATCAATCTGCAGTTCCTTATGAACAGGGCGTAATGATGCCTATTCATCTCTGTAATTGAAACGGCGTGCAGCATTAGTTGCACCTTTCGTGGCATCGCCGCGTAATAAAGATGCGCACGACGGCGACATTAAAGGGAGAGGAGAATTTCACGTGAAAGGAGATGAAGAGGAAAACTTAGCGAAGAGGAAGAACGAGAGAGATAGATAGAGAGAGAGAGAGAGAGAGAGAACATTTATACAGGGTGTTTCAGACCACCCGTACAATCCATTTAAAAACTAGAGAAGTGATTATTTCAAAAAAGTAAAAACATTTTCTTGACACCAATTGATTCCTCTCATTATTTTGTATATAAAAGTATTAAGGTAAGATAATCGAGAAATGAATATTTTACAAGATATTTTATGGTTTATGTAAAATTAAGAAATGATTTCAAGCCTCATAACTCGAAAAGTACTTCATGGAAAAATAATTTATTATAGTGTTTTGAAAAGCTCTCGAGGTAAGCTACAAGGATATGCAATAAAAAATAGAGGCTTCCATTTAAAAAAATGCACTTCCGGTCTGAATCGCATATTTCCGGCCGGAACTAGAAGTTGAAAATATCACCATTTGATAGAGCGCACCCGATTTATCAAGAAAATGTTTTTACATGTTTGAAATAACCACTTCTCTAGTTTTAAATGGGTGGTACGGGTGGTCTGAAACACCCTGTATAACTCAGGATTACATGTCGCGCATAGAGACCGGTATTTAGAAAGATTTGTATTTCAAACTAGGGGGATGTGGGAGGAGAGAGAGAGAGGCAGATAGGCAGGATATTTGAGTTTAACTCTTCGCGAGAGAGCGAGCGTAAGCGACGACCTATAAATGCGCGCGAGCGACCTGATTTCTTGCCAAAATTCATTCTCTGCAAGGATTAAGCCGCTTTGTTCGAAACTTCACGATAATACCTAGCGTTTCCGCGAAGCGAGCGTGTATATTTTAACGCTTGAGCGCACGTAATGTATTCTGCTAACAACGATTACGTCGACGAACATCAGTTGACATCGGAACGACCGATGAGCTTATCAGCTGTCTAAAATGATTATTGTCTCTCTCAGGTATATAAAGGAAAACTGGAATTATTGGCTTAGCTCGCTCCTTGTTTTCCTGTTATAAAGTCAATCAGGGTAATTGTAACAACATGATCAAATGGAACTTGACATAACTGATAGTACAGAGACAATCTTTGATTTCGTAAAATTTTGAAAGAATTATTTGAAGAAATATATATAAATAATGTTAAAATTAACGCTTTTGAAAGAAGAGAAGGAAATTACTTATAATAGTTTTCTTCTTCTTGAAAGTTTCTCATTAATAAAAGTAAAGGAAACAAAATTCAATGGAATAAATGAAGCGAATTCAACAAGGTAAAAAGAGCTACTTGAGCCGTAATAACGTTGAAAAGTAATCGTACGATTCAAAATAATAAATATTGATTAACTAAAAATATCATGCCGTTAAAACAACACAATCCTTTTACCATCGACTACTATATAAAACCTTACTGTGATCATCAGCAGCGCACAAAATATGCTCCTTAACGTGCGGATCCTGTCGTGGACGTGGTCGGTGCTTGACCCAGACGCCGATGGTGAACTTTTGCGCCAAGCTGTGCTCCAGCACGTCATTCGGCACAATCGCTGCCGAGTCCACGCCGTCAAACTCGAAGATCTCGTCAGCTTCTCTACCCTCGTCTCTAGACAGGGACGCTGTCCAGGAGCCCGTGGGCCCAGGAGTCGGTAGCAGGTCCACGCTGTCCCGCGAGGCGCCGCACAATTTCCGCTGGCTGCGTACCCCATAAGTATCGCGATCGCAGCCCTTGCCGATGTGATCCGTGGCCAGAGTCAGGGTGGCACGCACGTTTCGCAGGATGCAGGGCGCGTCGCAGAGGTCGAGTCTCGCCGAAGGCAAGAGAGGCTGCGAACCAACCCCCGCGGCATAGTCGACTCTCTCGGGGATGCCACGCCATCCAGGTGCGCACACGCGATTCACCTTGACCGTCACCATCGCCGGCGCCGATTGTTTCATGCCGCAGTCGTAGGCGACCACGCTGAGGATATAATTGTGCGAACGCTCGTAGTCCAGGGGCTCGGTGTTGCGAATGGCGCCCTCGTTGTCGATGATGAACGGTTGATCGGCGGTGAGGATCTCGTACTTACAGACGTCGCCGAACTTGGGCGTGCAGTCCCGGTCGGACGCCTCGACGCGGACCACCTCCTCGTAGAGGCGACCCTCGTCCACGGTGCTGACGTAGGCTGGCTGAAGAAATTGTGGCGCGTACTCATTGACATCAACCACGGTAATGTGAACGGTGGCGCTGGAATAATATCAAGGTACGTTACAAGGTATTATAGGGTATTACAAGATTATCTCTTCTGCACAGAGAAAAATATCATTCTACTGCCAAGAAAAGCGATTACTCAGTTTATTTTTCTTGTTTCAAGTAATAGTTTTCTTCAATAAAGCTATATATATTCTTGAATATATTCTTGATATATAATAATAATCTTAAAATAATAATCTTAAAATATAATGAATAAAATATATATTCTTAAAAAATGAATAAAATATATATGAATAAAATATATATTCTTAAAAATATAATGAATAATATATATATTCTTGAATATATATTTTTGAATATATTCTTGATAATAATCTTAAAATATACTCATCACAAGTATTAGAAAATCTCATTATCATGTAGTCAAAAGAAGAATTTATTTTCTCTTCAAGAATATTGTAAAGTTGTCAAAGAAAAATCAAACTTATTTTACGTCAACTCTTGTAGTAAGCAAATCAAATTTTTGTTTTAATTTAATATTCTTGACTAAAATACTGCACTTACTAAAATTCAGAATATATTCAATTAAATTTAATGCTTGTGATATATTTGCGGATATACAAATTTATAATATACTTAAAATAATATTTAATAAATAATAATTAATAAATAATATTTTCTTGAATACAGTATACATTTTTCTCTGTGTGCGGAGATGAGATATCGTAAAAGTATGAAGAATATAAGATGCATGAGAAGGTCTGGAATACTAAATCCTCCAAATTCTCACATTTGTATTTATCTCTATTTTTTTTTTTTTTGCAGTCGATATTATATTTCCTCTATTTACTTGGAAACAAATTTGTGTAATTTATTGATAAACCTTATGAATTAGAAACCTTTAAGCTTTTAAGCTATAAATGTATCAGACTATATAGCGGATTTAAAAGAGTTTATCCACCTATCAGGAAAGAGTATTTTCAGGGCGGATTACAGCCGAGGATTTGCAATATAATTCTACCAATCTCCAGAGTAAATTTATAAAAGAGATTTTATTTTCCGAGTATATAGAGGATATAATCTAATAATTTTTATGACAAAATAAAAAATAAATAGCAACTCTCATGCACTTGTATGCAATCTTTGCAAATTCGCAGTTTAAATGTAATGAATTTTCGAATTAATTAAAAGTTACATTTCACAAAGTGGCAATAACAATAGATTTGCAATGTCGATGAGAGGAAGCTATGTATTTTTGAGCATTTCCGCGTGTCACATGACGAGAGAGCTCGTATTGTACGTTTGCGTTAGAAAAGAATTTAAAAGAATTATGGCGGAACAAATACTGTCGATATATACTTAATGTAAAACATTTATATGACAGTGCCCGCTTTGGTGCGGGTATCGGAAATTTAATATGTGGCATACAACGGAAAAGTCAATAAAACGATATACCGCAGAGACCGTATGTACGAACGAAAAGGATTGAATTTCGACTCGGAATTGTTTCGTTTGCTGAAAACACACGTTCAAACAATAGCCGTTTGAGTTACATACATACTCGGGGAATCTATTTACGTTTGAAATTTTAGACACGGCTAAATCAATGCGTGGAAAATATGCCAGGAATAGAAAGTGTGCAGTAATAAATCGGACCAGGATATCGTCCTCCCGCTTGACCCTTCCGCATTAATATCATAATAATATCGGAGGCACATGTGGATATTCTAATTAGAAATTATGATGCGAAATTATCTCGGCGAGGCAATAGTGATTGAGCCACGCGATATCAGCCGATCGATATCGCCATAATTTCATATGACGGTAGTCGAAGTAAAATTTCGTTACAACGCGCTGCATGAAAAATTCAGCACGAAATCTTTCATATGAAAGCATCGTACATTGTGCACGTATGTACGAGATGTTTCACTATTGATCTGTCGATTCGTTGGTGGCGAGGTGAGAGAGAGATTCCGGTTGGAAACAGGGCGTATTAGCTTTTCACGGCGAATTATCTCTGCAATTGCGAGCTTCCTGTTTTTTACTCTAATTTCACCCACATACACTGCAAAATTTATTACTTCTATTTGTCACGAACATTATGTTTTTCGCACGAAATTGAAAAATGTTTACGTGATTTATGACTCTTCTATGCTTCGCAGTTCAAGTTTTACACAATATGCAGAAAAAAATTATATATATATATATACAATTACATGTCAAATGTAACAATTTTAATTTAATTTTAATCAAACGTAACATTTTTAACAAAGGTTTTCGACAAAAACTTCGCATTTCAAATTTCACAGAGATATATCGTAAAATCTTTTATTTTTAATGTTTTAATTTTATTATGTGTCACGTGAATGTTTTATTTCGAGAATTGTGTAACATTTATCGGGGCAGATCAGGGGCAAACGCGAGGGAATAGACGGCAGTTATTGTTTCGAGCGGGTGTGAAATCACACAGCCTCGTAATGAGAAAATTTGTGCACTCAAGCCGGGAGTTATTTCCTCATTTAGTCGATACACGTTTAGTATGGCATACACGGTGCGTCGGTGCAGACCGGAAAAATTGGCGACGCACGATCCGATGACCTACATTCGCAGAATGACTTATTACGATTTCAACTACAGATAAACACAAGATAAAACACGCCCGATGTAGTGTAACATACGAGACGTTTTGTTATAACTTTTCAGTTATCTGTAACTAACGTGTTATGATAATAATGTGATAGTGCGTATAATGTAATGATGATCATAATTTATACTTATGCATATCTTTGGACATATATGAAATTCAAATTATAATGTAAACATTATAGAATAATAATATTTGTTCCCTCCAGCCAAAAACATAATGAATATATTACATTTCTTTCTCGCCCTCTTTCTCTCTCTCTCTCTCTCTCTCTCTCTCTCTCTCTCTCTTCCTCTTATGCATAATAAATATGCAAAAGAGAGTGATTTCGTACGAGTATTTCGTTTGATAAAATGTCCATTAATTTTAATGAAAAAAAACCTTGCGCTCTTGCAAATATATATATTTTTAAATATTCACGAGCATTTGTGTGGCATATTTTTTTCAGAGGCCAGAAAGAGTTGAACGAAATATATTTATATTACTTTACAGCTATTGTTATCTTTACTTTTCAACAAAAGTTTCCTCTCAGTTATGTGAGTTGCAGTAGAAAAAGATAACTGCTTTGCATGAAAAGAGAAGCCCGAGAGATGGAAGTGTAAATCTCAGGTGAACTTATCTGGGAGCATCATAGATGGGGAACTTTTTTCAGCAATGAAGCAGTCTCGTGCTGAACCGGACTAGCTCTCGCAATTATAAACTTAAGTATATAGTTCTTCCGTATCGTTCATTCCGCTCTACTTTTCTCGAGTTTACTTTTATCTCGGGGAATTTTCTTGAGCAAATGCGCGTTTTTTGTGCCCTCGTTACTCAATACTCGAGTCGAGTATAATACAGCGAGCGGCTGGAAAAATTCGCTGTACGATCGCTCGAGCACGAAAGTGAATGTTGATGTCTTTACAGGCGAGTGCAGGACATACTTCTCGGATTGCGCTCCATTGCAGCCGACTGCGGCGATGTCGAACTTGTAATTGCGGCGTTTTTCGCAATTCAGGACCCGAAACGCCCGCAGCTCGGCCATCCCTTTCTCCTTCAGGACGATCTCGAACGGCGCCTCGCCGTGATGCTTGTTCGCGATGCGGAAGGAGCAAACTTTCGTTCCCAGGGCGCGGATCTGCGGCGTGACCTCGACCAGAGTTTCGTTCTCCTTGACCAGGCCATGATATCCGCTCTCGAGGCTTTCCAGGTCCAGTCGTGGAACTGCAAAACACGTGTACACGGTTAATCAACATCGATTCTCCTCGTTTAGCGGGAAAAAAAGGACTACCTCATCAGTTTCGCTATTTCTAATGGAATCGTGACCCTCGCATTCCTCGCAGCAGGTTTCGTTTCCTTCTCTCAGATAACTTTTCTCGGAAGATAGACCGTCTGATTTCATCAATCTTTATCTCGAGACGATATGACAGAGCCTATGATAGAGTGAATCTATCACTGAGGTAAAAATTTTTTTAAATCAAATAAATTTGTTTTCTTTTACTTTAAATGGAAGGAATTGTTTATTTCATTTAAGCGAAAGCATTTAATTTTAATTAAATATGCATGTTATTAAGTACATTATTTTCATTTATATATTTTTATATTTAAATACTATTTTCGTAAAATATATACTATAATTTATTAAATTAAATATATTATTGTTTAAAATTAAAAAATTTTAAATTTTTGAGAATAAAAAATGCATTTTAATAAATATTTTGTAAAATTAAAATAAAAATATTTCATTAAAAAATTTTTTTAAGTATACATATTTTTTTAAACATACGTAAATAAATAAATTAATTTAAGCAAACAGACGTTTTGAATACAAGTAAATACGTGATTAGTACCGAATAAATAGCTTTCTTGAGTTAACTAAAATTTTTTTATCTCAAGATCATTTTTTCCTCAGTGTACAGTCCCTCGTTAAACGAAAATGTCATTAAGGCCACTTCACACACGAATTTATTTCGCATAAGCACATCATATCTCGACCAGCAAAATGTCTAATATCGTTTTCTGCGATGCTTATTGCTTTTTTTCATTAGATAAAATCATTCTGGCGATATGTTTCTTGCCGTTGCACCGATGGATTTTTTAATGAGGTAAATCTTAAATTCCATCCCATCTTAACAAAGCTATTAAAAATTAATGAATCAATTTTACGTTGGTTAACGCGCATTTGAAAACGACCGGTAAAATCTACCGCCGCGTATAACAAGCGAACTTTTTAATTAAGCATCAGGAAATATTCCGAGCGCGCGGTTTTCGTGGACAAAAAAAGGAAAGAATGTAAAATTTAGCGGAAATGGGTTAAGTGAAACAAAAGAGGCAGCAGCCCGTTAACTCATCAACTTCTTCAACATACATAATGAGAATATTAAATAATATAGTTATAAACAATATAGTTGGAAGAAGAGTGTGTTTGTTTACGTTCGCAGTTATAATAAAATATTAATTAATAACGCTAAAATTTTCAGCAGCGCTCAAACAAGTAATGTTTTTATGTAAGCTTTCGCGACACAGTATGACCTAGAATCACCAGGTTATACATTTGACAGGTAGATCGATCTCAAATAAATTTTCTCTTGGTAAAAGTTTTAGCGGAATCAAAAGTTTTTAAAGTTCAAGAGAATAAAAGTAGAGCAAAAACAAGATAATCAATGATAAATTTTTATTCATACTCTTTGATTTAAATAATCTTATATATTTAATTCTCTTGTATTTTAATAAAATTTTAAAAATAAGACTGAAATATCAGGACATTTAATATTGGATATTTTTTATAAAGGAGTACGTGAAATATGGCATTTCATTGAAAATTTCTGGAGATACTATCGCGTTAATTATACCGAAAATTTGGGTGTGAAAATGGACGACAGTCCGATATGCTAAATCGGTGAATAACATCAGATTTACATATTTTCGCGATTATAATATGTGCATATTTTGTACTAGCACCGAGCAATTATTTATGAGCAATCGCTTTCGATCGTGGAAGGAAAGTCAATTATGGAACGTATGCATAATACGCTTTTCGATTATCCTACAATTATCGCTATAACAGATGCATCAAAATTGACATTTCGCTTTATAAAAAACCGTTTACGAAATAAAATCGTATACACATGGCGAATTTTTATATACGCAATTATAATCTGTTAATAATATACATACGTATCACGAGAGTTTACTACCAATAAACATGAATGTATAAACAATTTCCGCATTAAAAATCACGTGTAACATTTTTACGCGATTTCTAGCAATGCATGTGTGTAATTGTGACTCATCTCAGTATAATAAAACAATTTAATACGTAATAAAAAACAATTTTATGTACATATATATAAATTGCTAATAATGCATCGATCGCCGAAATGTATAAAATATTTTTTTACTTTAAATGAACTTACTTTAAAACCTATAGAAAATAATAATAATAAGATTGTAGACAAAAAATTAAAAAATTAAATTGCGGATAGTGTCGCTTAATTAACATCGTATCCCTCGTCGTAATGAGATCACCATTTAAATTCTGGCAATCTCATTATTCGATTCAATCGATGGGACATCTAATTTTAGGAACCGATAATTACCACCGCGATCGTTAATTAATTATTCGTATGTGAAATATACTTTGACATATACGGCATTATCGTATACCGGGACACATCAGGGTCAGCAAGGTATACACTGAGGGAAAAATTTTTTTAAATCAAATAAATTTGTTTTCTTGAAACTTTTGCTTTAAATGGAAGGAATTGTTTATTTCATTTAAGCAAAAGCATTTAATTTTAATTAAATATGCGTGTTATATTAAGTACATTATTTTCATTTATATATTTTTTTATATTTAAATACTATTTTCGTAAAATATATACTATAATTTATTAAATTAAATATATTATTTTTTTAAATTAAAAAATTTTTTAATTTTTGGGAATAAAAAATGCATTTTAATAAATATTTTGTAATATTAAAATAAAAATATATCATTAAAAATTATATTTTTTAAGCATATATATTTTTTTAAACATATGTAAATAAATACTTAACTTAAGCAAACAGACGTTTTGAATACAAGTAAATACGTGATTAATACCCACCGAATAAATGGCTTTCTTGAGTTAACTAAAATTTTTTTATTTCAAGATAATTTTTTCCTCAGTGTATTCATTCAATTATCGCGACATGCAAATTCACTACAGGAAGCTTCAAACATTTTTCAAAACGTCACGTATCATTCACGGATTCATTCTAATTTTAGTGGCGAGTGATTAGGAATAATTAACGATCGGCTCCAGGCTCTAGACGCACACGCACATAAACATACACACGTGCGTCGCGAGATGCAACCAAATATTTTTAACACGCGTAACACGATCCCTCTCTTCACGGACGGGAATATTAGATTCACATCACTTTACTTTTGGGCCGAAATCAGTCTAATTTTACTCCCCAGGCTCCTTTTTCCAACGATTGATGATTCACACCTAGTTTGTTATTCCGACGAGCATGACTAACAGCGTCATTCGGTGAATGATCGTAATCGAACCCCAAGTAATTGTCAGAGGGGTTTCCAGCCCCATTCTGCGCCAAAAGTGCATTTAATTATACAGATAAAATTACACGAGGTTTTTGAAACATTATTATCGTGTACCTTGACATAAAATTAACTCTCTTATTATAACACTTGGCAATTTAAATAAAAAGATATATAAAAAATACACGCAAGTAAAATTAATCATCTTGTAATATTTTGCAATTAAATAAAAAATAAGAAAACATAATACATAAAAAAATAATATATAAATATATAATATATAAAAAATAATATATATAATAATATATAAAAAAATATATAATAATATATAAGAAAAATATACATAATAATATATAAAAAAATACGTATGTACAAAAAAAATGTAAAAGGAAACAATTATTATAAAAATGTACATATCCAATGTCTTATCGAGTAACATGAGACGATTATTTATCTTCCAGATGTTATTACTATTCATCTACTATCACGCACTCGTTTTTTTGTTTATATTAGATTAAATTCGAGTCTTGGAATACTGCAGTCGATCATTTCCAGATACAACGCGAGGAGGCAATTATGTTAAATGCAAATAAAATAGGTGTAGTATGTAGTATATCATTATATCATTCTCAACGGCAATCTTGTGTCGCATCGAGCACTTCGAATTTTATCATCGCGTCGCTTACGAATGCGCGAATAAATTTCAGCCGCATCGCACAATTTTGCATAACCCGATTACTTTCGACATTTCGCGAATTCAGACACGTTAATGGCGCAAAAAACACACATCCAAAATCCCACATTTCGGCGAATGGAATTTTCCAAGCGCAAAAAAAAAAAAGAGAAAGAAAGAAAAAACAAAATTCAATCGCTCGTCAATAATTTCGCTCGCCGAGAATCGGAATATCGCGACACGGGAGAGATCGATTTTACGTAAAAATCACGGAAAATCTAAGCAGGCCGAGCCAGGATCCTACTCGGAATTTATATCCGGCGTCCCAATATCCTCTTATATCACGTCGCAACATCTGTCAGGGGAATTCGACGTCAACAATCGAGTGCGGCCGGTCGGATTCCTTAAGAGACTCCCCCGCATTTTTCCCGATCTCTCGTCTCCGTTTTCTCGCATTCCGGGACGATTCACGGGGACAGTGAGAGAGAGAGAGAGAGAGAGAGAGAGAAAGAGAGAGACCGAAAAAAAGAGCCGCTCGACAGGAGGAGGAGGAGGGAGCCGAGTTTAACAGCCGCCTTTCTTTTCTCGCCCGTTTCGCGGCGGCGGCGATATATCGACCGGGTGGGCGCAGTGCAACGTTCAACTCGTCGTATTGTGCAATGAGAGACGGGGCACGGTCAATGAAATCGCCATAACAGCTTCGGCGAGCCGCAGGTGCCGCGGGCACCTGCGGGTCGCCCGCGTCGCGACGTCCCCGTCCGCGATGACAGATGGAGAGGAGGCGCGTACGCGAGCTCCTCTCCATCTGTCATCGCCTCCGCCAGGTACGCCAGGTACGCCAGGTGGACGAATGTAGGCCGCCGGGGCAAGAGAGACGCTAAGACGGGAATCACCTCCACCATGATCGTTGCCGTAGGAGCTCGGAGGTGTCGACTCGAAGGCGGACGCGAGGCTCGCGTGGTTCAGCCCGACGCACAGGGCCAGCAGCCCGCGGAGCAGCGTGCTCGTCCTCGCCCGCGGCAGCATATTTCCTCCGCTGCGGCTCGTCCTGTCGGCCACCGTCGTCCTCGTCCTCGTCCTCGTCGCCGGACTGGTACCGTCTATCCGCGCACTATCCCAACGTGACCAACTTACGCACCTCGCTGCGCGCTTACGGCACTCTCGGAGAGCGATTCCCTCGGGAGGACAGATTGTTTCCCGCTCGCGCGCGCACTCGGGGAGCACTCCACTTTTTTAAAGGAGCATCACCGCCTAACTGCACGGGACGGACTCTCTCTCGCGCGCGCTCGCTCTCGCGACACACCGCACACACAATCGCGGAGTCAATATTTGAGCGGAATATCGATTCGCCTTCCCTTCGTCGGGAGAGAGAGAGGCGCTAGTGCCGATTCTCGCCGCGCTGTCCTCCGGTGGCGCTGTCTCCCGGCGCGCGACGCCTCAAGCCGCGTTCGCATGGCTTTCCTCCCGAGGCTCGCTGTATATTACACGCGAATTCTGAAGGTTCGTAGCGGGCAAGGGACGCTCTCGAGCCAACTTTCCGAAATTGTATACAATAAATTTATATACAATAAATTATTACAATAAATTTATATACAATAAATTTATTATAATAAATTATTACAATAAATTTATTACAATATTTATATACAATAAATGAATTAACTGTTGTTTTTCATCGATGGAGTCACGTAAACGTGACAGTTCAGAAATTTAAGTCTCATTTTCATAGCCACTTTTTTAGATGCGAAACAACCGCCAATTTTAAAAAATATATTTTACATATTTAAAATATTCATTATACGTGTATATTTGTTTTGGAAAATTTAAATACTAATTTTATATACAGTTGGCGAAGGTTTAATTTAGGTTCATATGTATAGTTTGTTAATTTATTGTATATAAATATAACAATCTTATATATTTTACAAAAATATATAAATCATTTCTTCTATATTATATTTCAAGAATTTGTTTACACGCGTATAAAGTTATTTAATATCTAATTTTTCTACTTTATCAAGTTATTTAATATTTAACATGCAAAAAAATAATGTTGAAACAAAAGAATGTCTTATACTTTATTTTAGAGCTTATTTTTGGTAGTCTTTAATTGGGAAATATTTTTAATTCCAGCTTTTGAGTAACTAAGGCTTGAAAATTCCACACAATTATCTTTACCATGTGAATCAGTAAAGATTATTTTTATTTGTGTATCCCTATATTCTATTCTATTTTTTATTCGTGTCATCTCGCGATATTTGTGTATGGTGATATCTGACTTATCAATTTTTTGTTTGTGTAATAAATTAACTTCTTTTGGATACATCGTGTCTTCAGGCAAGAGACACACCTCACCATCTTTTAACTGTATACGTACCTATAATTATGAAATACAATATATTACATTAGATTATTTGCTTCGTATGAGTTTAATCAATAAAAGACTTTAGTTTATGTACCGGAAAATATAACTGCAATGCCTCTCTAATATTGCGTTGTTCCATCGTAAGATCTATCAGCTCATCTATACTTTTAATTTTAATGAACCTTGCAATTTCACATTGTTGTGGCAGTGGAAAGATACCATCCACTGACAACAAATCCTCTGGCCTTTCCCACTAAATTTGTTTCCAGTTATCAGTTTTCGTAACAGATATATATTTTATTGAAAACTGTATATATTGTCAAATATATCTTACTTTCAGATCTTCCATTTCAAGGGCTTCATATTCAGCATAAGGTATCGATGGCAGGCAGGCTAAATAAAGCATATTATTGAAGCGTTTAGGCATATCTGTAGGTGTCAACCAATTTCTCCATTCGCGCAATGCCCACAAATCTGGATAGCACTCCAACTTCTCGCAAAGAGCAAGGAAATCTGTGGCATTGTTATGCACCTTGGTTTGCCACATTTGCAATTCATCTTTCGGGACTAAAAATTACACAATTGACATTAATTGTAAGTATCCAATATGCAATATGTTTATTTTGTGCAATTTCTTACGCGACACGAATTTGGCCCAATTAGTAACTGTTCTGTCATTTTTATGTCTGCATATCAGTATTCCAGACTCCTCGAAGGTCTCGCGAATGGCCGTGATGCGTAACGAGATCTCTCTTGGCAGTTCGTTCTGTATCGATCGATAGATCTCTGGTCGCGTCGCAATCTTTGGCTCTAGAGACGCGAATCTGTCGTTGTTGACACCGAAGGCGGCGAAGATTTCGCGCCATTTCGGAGTAGAATCAACTGAATCTATGGCGCCACCCGGGAAGACGTACATCCCTGGCATGAAACTTGATTTTTGATGACGTTTCAACCATAGCAGTTTATAATTGCTCTGAAAAAAAAAATATATATATAAATCCTTCTGTACGTTTTTATATACGTCCATTTCGAAACATATGTCATTATATTCGCAAATATTGCCTATATTTCATTTTAATTAAAATATTATATATGAATAAAAAAAAATAAAAAAAAATATATATATATTTTAATTAACTTTTTTAATCAACATTTATTATCAACATTGATTAAAAAAGTGGATACAAGATGGATATTTTTTTTATACTGTGAATTTTTCTGCCGATATATATATTAATTATAATTAATATATATTATATATATATATATATATATATATATTAATATCAAAATTATATTTGAGGCAATAATTCGATATTAAATCGTTCCATCATGATTTTCTTATTCACGTCATCATAGCCGTATAAGTGTATAAGTTAGAAAGAGACAAACATATTTTTTTTCACTCTAATTGCACAAGTGCAGCAGTGCAGCTGAAAAGAACATATACCCATAGACCCATAGAATAATTGCAGATGAAAATTTCATCATGTAAATAGAATTTACATATTTACATACGTTACCCTGTACACTTACAACTGTAGACGATGCCGCGGGATTGCATTTTTGCGCTGCTAATATCAAACTTGCCGATTCATGCCAGAATTTCATCTTCAGGCTCTTTCCACGCGTGGTGGAAGTACACACTAATCAACACTACTACTTGGGACATTAGATTACCTACTATCAGTTTCAAATTATCTCAGTGAAATGGCTGAAATGCACTCGATGCACAATATTGAAAATAAATTAATTATGTTTATTTACATTTTACAAAAAATGCGACGATACAATTCTAAGAGTTCAAGTACCGCTCAACTTCCGTTCAAGATCTAGGTACACATTAATTATGTTTCATCTTTCGACTTGCCCCCCGTTTTCCCTGTGGCCGCGATCATCAATTCGTACAACTGACACACTTGCTCGTCCCGCAGCAACTCGAGGTCCTCCTCCTCCAGACACTTACCCAGCGGCTGTCCTGTGTGAGGGCCCCTTAAGCCCAGCTGTTCGGCGAGAGAGGCCGCGTAATCCTACGGGAGAGATTAATTATGTCCCGTGAAAATCGAGCGAGCGTCTCGAGGCCTTCGTTAACGATTCTCGTTCACTCCAACGTAAACATAACCTTCACAATCTCGATAATCGACGCGTTTCTACTCACGGTCCACTCGCGGAGGAAGGTAATCGCCTCGCTCTCGGAGCATTTCTTGTGCCTCTTAAACTCGTCGCGCACATAATTATTGCCCAGGGGCTGTATCTGGGCCGGTAAGCCCCGATGTAACCTCAAAATCGTCTTGTACAAAATCCTTACCCGCTGAACGTGTGTCCGTGAGGCCATCTGTGCGCGCCTTAAATTGGCAACACTGAAACGTCAGTCGTAACGCGCATACTTCCCTCGTATGAGGAATGCCAGTTTTTGAAAAGCCCACCTGTGCCGCTCGTTGTTTGCCAATTAATTTAGAATTTAATTTGTATTTTTAATTGTTTTGAGTTTAATTTGTTCGGGACTTTGTGTGATTATTTCCGGCGTTTCGTCTCGTGTATATCCTCGAGTATTAAATCTCGATGTGAATAATAACCTCGCGCAAACTTTTCGAGAAAACTTTGGCGCGACTCGATGGAAAACTTTTAGGATTCCGAAATTAATTTTCGAAATTAAACTTGAGAATTAAAAGTTTGTATTTTAGCCGTTGTTAGTCGCGTAAATTAAGCAGAAATCGTTGCGCGTATCCGAAAATTCATATATTATTATATCGTTGTGCGTATCCGAAAATTCATATATTATTTATAATTATTTAAATGGGGTTATAAATAAAATATAAAAGTGCAGTAAATTCTTATCATTATCATTAATAGCGAAGATTTGGAGATTTGTGTTCGATATCATCTAATAGAAGGTATTAATACATATATATATATGTATATATATATATATATATATATATATATATATGTATATGTATATATATATATATATATATTTTTTTTTTTCTTTTATAAATCTTTTTTTTGTTTGGTATTTATAATTTATTTACTTATGAATAACAATTGACAATTTATTTCTATATAACAGAGAGAAAGTACATAAAATTACTTTTATTTAAAAATATCTACATAAATATTTCTACAAGTAATTTTAAATATTTAAAAAGTATTATATAGAGAAAATATATGTATTATAACAGTTAATATCTATTTTAATTTTTGCAGAAATTAGGGAGCGCGAGTGCCATTACAAATTATTTCTGCATTTAACTAGAATATTACTGGCGTTTAATTGGCATATTGTTGATGGTATTTCTGCGTCCTTACATCACATTTAAACTAGTTATCCTCTGGAGATCTGGCGTCTTGAATTTCCTGTCAATTAAATTATATTTAAATTTTTGCTCGCATAAACATAAAAAAATACATTAATAAGGCAATCGTATTACTGTCATATTACTCATAAAAACAGGCTTGTAAAATTTAAAAACTGAAACAAAAAAAATAAAAAAGAAATAATTATTGTCATTATTTACATTTTCAAATCTTTGTCAATCATTTCCCATTATAAGTGGAAATTTAATTCGCAACAAGATATTCTTTGATCAGAAATTAAATGGACAAGTCGAGAATCGCAATGAATGAAGGAATGAAATTTTTGAACCACAGGTCTCAATTTCTTACCCGATTCCTTCGTTCTCCATACTTGGACCAGAACGTGACCTTACACGTAGACTTTTGTCCAGTCTGCTTGTTGAAAACCGAACATGTTGAGAACGGTGGCGAATATAAATGCAGAGAGACCGCGGGATTTATCGCGCTTGGATTTTCAACACGATGCAAACCTAACGAATCTTAAATAGAAATAAAAAGAAATAGATGACAAATTATTCAATATGTGTATAAAATTATATTATCCATATGTGTTTATATATAATTTCATTTATAAATTAAAATTCGCACTTAAAAATTTGTTTTGCAATTTCATTTTTGCAAAAGATTCAAGCTTGACATCTATGCAATGGGAGATAAGTTTTTATATAAAATTTGTTATATAAAAAAAATATTTTGCAGCAGCTTCTTATTTATTACGTAGTAAATATAAAATTTATTATTAATAGTTTAATTTAAAAAATCATACCATTGATATAACATATCTCGTTTGTATCAAGTGTGTTCCTCTCGAGTTCTTTGAGTTCTTCCATACCTTTCATACCTTCTTCCATTTCACACCTTTCGGGCCATGCGTATCTGGTCTAGCATTTTAATATCAATTTTATATTATATATTTTATTATTACAATATTTGAATAAATCTTTGAATATTTTGAATAGATTCAAAACACAAACATTATTAAAATAGAATCATTTTTATACCTCGCATAATTTTCCTTGCAGAACTTTCATCACGCAGTGCGCATTGGCATGATCATGTATAGCTGATCCATGACCTTCTCCCCAACACAACACCATCAGATTGAACCTACCGTTTCCTTCGTCAACTAGATTTCTTGTATATCTGCAAATGAAAGAATCATTATCTGGTATGTTGTTTCTCAATAATTATTTTGCATTTGATGTTATTGATTAGTTACAATTTTTTATTGAATTATTTGTTATTATCGATTTCGAAATCTTGATGCATACTTTCAATGCAACATATATTTAATAAGTTATTTTTATGTGCAAATTTTATATACAAATTTTACGTGTGCACACACATAAATATAAACAATAAATATACATAAATGCTCGACTTGAGAAAGGCAACAAATCTAATATTGTTGATCAATCTTAACTGATGTTACCTGTGTAGATTGTTAATTAATCTAATGGAACTTAGCAAATATTGTAAAATCTCTTGCATCAACTTTATTATTAATTGATATAGACTATAATCTGCAATCAAAAATTAATCTCCAATCAAAAATTAACTAGTCATGAAAAATTCCTTGTATTGATTTGTTGGAAGGTTTATTCGGAATTAATTATATATAATAAATCGGTTTACTCGGATTAAATTACATTTAAAAATTGACGGTATAAACAAAAGAGCGATTTTATACTAAATTAAGTATATTAATTAATTCAACAAAACAATTAAATTACGGCTCATTAAACTTTAAAAATATTTATTAATATATATATTTTATTATATATTTTATTTATATATTTTATTATATATTTTATTATATATTATAAATTTTATTATATATTTTATTTATTATTATATATTTAAAAAAATATTTATTACAATTTAAATGAAACTACTATTAAAATACAAAAAAATTTAGATAAATCAATAGTTTTAAAACTATACGAGAATTTAAATTGCAATATAATTGAGATTTTTAATATTTTTGGAGTGGATAAACAAAACTTGTTTTTTCAAATAAAAATACTATTTAAATTGAATTGTTCTGTCATATGCCTATGTGATGCAGCAGTATTAAATAAACAATTATTTATAATATGTATTTTGATAACAACGAATAACAACCGATTTATTATTTCAGAAGAAAAAATTATTTAGCATTAATATAAATCGAGTGTCATAAACAATTTATGAATCGGTGATTTGCAATTTTCGTGCAACAGAGCGAATATAACCGGGAATTTCGATGCTTTCCATAACTGCATATTTCATTCGTTTTTTTTTTCACGCATATCCTACCAATATACCGATTTCAATCTTTTTCCTGAATTACACAGAACGTGGAGAAGGGGAACATATGCATGAAAAGCATATAAGCGATTATCCAACGGTTAATTGTGTGTAAACATTTCTACATATCACTATTTTACTTTCATCTTAAAATCTTTTCAAATACAAAAACTTGAAAGATTATTTTTAGGAAAAAAATGTGAGATTTTTTGAAAAATAAATATTATTCTTTTTTATATAATTTTATAATTGTATTATTTATAAAACATTATTTTATATAAACTATTAGAATATTTTCAAAGTTTATCATTTAAAAATATCGGAATTAAAGATGATAGACGAATTATTGGAAAAATCTTGAGCGTGCTAAAAAGATTTGATCGTATTTTCTCTCGCGAAAATAAAATAAATTTTTAAAGCGGAAGGAATCTCTTTATTTTTCTAAAAATATATTTGTTTACTTTAAATGCACAATTAATTCTTTAATAAATTAATATATTTTAGTGATATTATTAATTAAATATGAAGTATATTATTAATGAAAAATTTTTCCATAATCATCATACAAATTGCATACGTTCATCTAATTTAGATCTTTATGAGAAAAGCATGGAATTATATGGTATTTCGTTGAAATACGATGTTAATATGTCGAGAGTGATCTTCATCTTTCTCTGTGAGAGGCTTTTCGTTAAAATAATCTCGGTAGAAGGAATATTTGCTGAGTTTAATGTGTGCCGCTCAGTTTACGTTCTACTTTGTATTGACAGCAAAACCGGTAAACGTGCGCTGTAGTTTCTGTACTTTCCCGAGTCACGTGGATCTCAATTACTGTACACTGCAATTCCACCTGTGTCCAAGGTGCTCGTTATCTCACGAACTCGTAAACTCATTTTCATTCCCAATTGCTATTGCTCTCCTAATCAAGAAGTCTATCAAAAGTGTCGATGCAAAGTTAGTGTAACATTGCCGACAATTAACGATACACCAAAATATTTATCATCTTTTCTTCTGTTATATATATTACATCATTTTACATATATATATAACAATAATGTACACGATAATATGCAAGATAATTTATATGTTAATATTAAATATTAAATAATAATTAAAAAGCGATAAAGAATTTTCTCTTAAATTTCTTATTAATAGATATTATTAATAGAATCTTATTAATAGTATTTTCTGAGCTCTAATGATTACGTACATTTTAATGCATACTTTATATGCATACTTTATATGAAAATGTGCGAAGTTTATCGCACCATTTGTTGGAATATATTCGTGATAATAACTAATAATTCTAGAATGTTCTCTCGCTCTTATCACATACATGAAGATATATCCACAGATTGCAATAAATAATCTTGTGTTATTAAAGTTACATAACGTATGATATATATGCTGTCATAAATAATAAATTTACTCATAATAAGAAAAACACGAAATTTTTCGTCACTTATCTGCGTATACTTTTAAATCTACTTTCATTAGTGAAATTGTAAAAAAGAATTACAAATTATTTATTTGTAAATATGTAACAAATTATTTTATTTATTCTGAAAATTTTCCATTTTATCAAATATTTTCTAACATATTTATCAGTCACACATTCAGCATTTCTTTGTACAAACAAAATTGTTTTTGCTTAAAATTACACGTTTCTTTGGATTATACTCTTTTGCGTATATTATATTACCTCTACATTATTTTTATGCCGATTATGCGATCGACAGAAAATTCTGCGATTGGGTAATCCAGTTTCATTAATGCGTCTCTAACATATATATATATATATATTTTTTTTTTTTTTAGTCTGATAGCATTAACTGATTATTCTACTTCTATCACAAATGTTAGTGGCATTGCGGGTCACTTCAGAACAAGATTACTGAATTTTTTCAAGACAGTGGAGTGGAGAGAGTAGAGCCACGCGAGAACAAGTAACGATAACCTATCCTGAACTTCGTGTTAATTACATTTCACAATTCCGCACGTATAGCGCGTGTTATATGCATTCTATTTACACATTTAAAACACAGATTGACGAAAATATTTACTCCTCTCGTCAATTATCAACGATCGTTGTCACTGACGTATTTCTCCGCTCGTTCAATGTCCCTAATTGATCATTACCGTTACGCCGATTTTGTTTACGGTAGTACCGTAATTGCCGATGTATAATTACGCTACTACTACTTAAGGACACATGTATTTTTCCGTATATATATTCTCTATATGTATAGTAATTTACATCGCGATGAAAATTTTATTTTTATCAAAAGTATAAACAACTTTATCTTTGATTATATATATATATATATATATATATATATATATATATATGTTCAAAAATTAAACTGCACCTTTTCTTCAAAATCGTACGTTCGATAAAGTTTATATATCTAATCAAAGATAAAATTGTTTATACTTTTGGCAAAAATAAAATTTTTATCACGATGTAAATTACTATATATGTAGAGAATATATAGACAAAAACATATGTCTTTAATATACGTATCCAAAATTATAAAAAAGATTTTAACTTACTTCGTATTGTCTTCGTATTTTCTATCTCGATTATAATTTAAAAAAATTTAAAAAAACTTTAATCGATTTTTAACGTGTAATTGTACAGTTTTTTTTTAAATGTATGACGTATACAGATTTTTTTTCAATTATATTCTCTTTTCTATATTTTAAACAATCAATAATCTAAATTATTTCCTGATAATATACATCATTAATAAAAAAATAAAAGATCAATTAAAAATAAAGGATCAATAAAAACAATCAATAAAAAAATGAAGCACATAATATGGAGATCTTTTATATAATCATAACAGTTATATAATTGCAAAATATAAAATATTTGTTGCATGAATAAATGATTAATATATTAAGAGAGAGCTACACACTTAAGATACATTTCGTTAAATATTAAGTAAACTTCGTAAATAAGTGTCACAATACCTATATCTATCAAACTTGGCAAACTTCTTCCACTCCACAGGATTGCTCTTGTAGCTCGTCATCAAGTCCTGAACGAGATCGATATTTACATGATCCGTTTGAAAAACTTCATGTAGTGCATCTATAAGCTCCCGGAGGGTGGAAACTTTTCCTCGTTGAAGTTTCTCCCTATTCTCAACTAGACACGATGATTTTCCACGTGGTACGTTGTACAATCTATCTTCCTCGTTACAAATCTCCATTTTTCAGCTACGAGATACAAATTGCACTTGGACGATTTTATTCAACTGGCAAAAGTTTCTTCTACGTTATTTCTACGAGTACGAGATACAAATTGCACTTGGGAATATTTAGTACCAAGTACATTAAATCGTGCCTCGTCCGACTCGGAGAATGCACTCGAAAGCGAAGGGAGGAAAGAGATTTATGTTGGGTCTGTAACCAAACGTCACGCACTAACTGTGAGATCGTACTAATTCCCGTGTCCAACTACCTCGCTGTCTTAACTCAGGCTTATAGCCGATACGTCTAGTGTCTTGTATTCAGTATAAGATAACCCCTACTCCAACCACAGTGGTACCAGATGGCATTATCATTTTGTGTGTTTTTTGCTTTTCACTTTTCGATCAAAATTTGATAAAAAAAATACTTGGAGTAGAATTTAATATTATGACTTTACGCGGCCTCTGGTTTTTATGTTAATCTCTAATTAATGACGAACATATGTTTATATAAGAATAATTTAATCAAATATTTTTTTGTTTTTTTTTTAATATTCTTTATAAATTTACAAACTTTAATAATAAGATGTTATATTTGTAATTTATAATATGTTACAAATATTACAAATATCATCTTTTTCAGAAAAATTAAAGTTAGAATAAAATTTAGAATAGAACTTAGAATAGAATTTAATATTATTATGACTTTACGTGGCCTCTGGTTTTTTATGTTAATCTCTAATTAATGACGAACATATGTTTATATAAGAATAATTTAATCAGATATTTTTTTGTTTTTTTTTAATATTCTTTACAAATTTACAAACTTTAATAATAAGATGTTATATTTGTAATTTATAATATGTTACAAATATCACCTTTTTCAGAAAAATAAAAGTTTTGTTTACGCAAATTACATTTCTCATGTTATATATCATATATATTATATTAATAAAAATTATAATTTTATTATTAATGAAATTAAAATTTTTATTATTTATATTTATAAGTCGAATAAATATCTCGATAGGTAAAATAAATATATTATACTTAGACATATATTTTTATCGAATATTTCAAATGATTTTGATTAAGATGATGTAAACGTAAACGTTTCTTTCGCTTTCGAATTCTGTGGTTATACGTGTTTCCCGACATATAAAGCACATACAAGTGTACATAATATGCGCATCTGAGAGTTCTTATCTTTTGACCCGCAGAAATGTTAAACATTTGCATCATGCTAGAATATTATGAAATTTAAAGTTTAAGAAAACATTGTAGTATCAATTTGGTAACGTTAACATTGCGCATAATACATGATTATCAATATTGAAATTATCTATTACGCGTGAAAATATTAACATCTTCATCTCTCTCTTCAGTCTTATTTAAATAAATATTTTAGAATTCTGAATTTATATATATTGTAACATTACGTGTAACATTTATTTATCTGACTATTAATCGTGAATCACTATTAAACACTTATCTTTTCGCATCTATTTGCTTCTCAAATTGGTAAATCCTTTTTGTCTTCGCTTTTGTTCGGCATGATTGGATGAATCATTGCACTTGCACAGCCTCGCTTACCAGGCTACCTGCCATAATGCAGCTGCAGCAAAGAATGCAATAAAAAACTAACAACAGAAAGTACGAGGATCTCGTGTTCTTGATGATGAGCGTATAAGGTTAAATATTCGAACTCGATTATTTGCAAAATCTTTTAAATAAATTGAATGCCTCATGAAATTCACGAAATTGCGAGGAAATTGCTATAAAAAAAGTATACAATTAAAATTTCTACCATCTTTATATAATTTAATCTACTCACGTGCAAGGCAAATTTTTGCAATAATAACATTTTGCCAGAGGTCGCTTGCATAATCTGTTTTTCATGCATCTGCATGGCGACAATTTACAAATGCAGCCAATATGTTGAATTAATATCGATTTTCTAACAATATTTTTACGCTCATTTTCGGGACTCGACCGAAAATTATTCGGCGACTTTTCTGTTTTACGATATCTAATTAATGTGAATTAAAAGAAAAAATATTCTAATAATACAGTGGTTTATGAGAAAAAAATCTAGATAAGAATAGGATAATTTAGGCAAGAAAACCACAAAAAGCATTGATGTCACATGCATAAAATTATTCTAAATATTAAGAGACAAACAAAATTAAGTCATGGATTGCAAAATATTAAATGAAATTACAAAATTCTCGCGCAAACGTTTCGATCTATTCCAGATCCTTCTCAATGTTAACAAAATACAAATATGAAAGGAGAACAAGTCGCTCGCAAATAATAATATCCGCAAATTCAAAATATAATACAAGGTCAGCAAATTATTGAGAACGGTCGGCGCAGATAACATAACTGTCAATATAATAAAAACAGCGGTTAGTACAACAATAATAGCAAAATTTTTAATTAAGAAAAATGAAATTATGACGTTCAGATAACGGAATACGGTCTTGGAAATGCCCGCAAGTCGGCATGTTACTCACCAGTAATACACAAAATGATCGTGGCTGTAAAAATAATTATTCCAAAGCCGAAAAATAATTATTTTTACAAAATAAGGCATTTGTCGTCATTACATAGAGTGTGGATTGTTTGCGGTATTTCTGCCCTCTCTTATACACACATACCATCTTTTCATACCACTCTTTTTCTACACAACCACAGTTGAGAAGGATCTGAAATAGATCGAAACGTTTGCGCGAGAATTTTGTAATTTCATTTAATATTTTGTAATCTATGACTTAATTTTGTTTGTCTCTTAATGTTTAGAATAATAATTTTATGCATATGACATCAATGCTTTGTGGTTTTCTTGCCTAAATTATCTTATCCTTATCTAATTAATGTGACATGGAAATAATTTCGTAAAGTTTTAACGTCCTCGTTTCAGAATATTTTCCAGTTACATACCCAATATTGGCTCTCCTTTTTTCCTCTCCTTCATCTTGATTAATCCGCGATCCGCAGCAGCACGGATTTCTCCAGCATCGTGAGCAGCATACAGACTCGCTCATCTTTTGCTGCAGTTCGTTCATCACATCTGAGAAGATATTCAGCCGCTGATAAGGTAGCTCCTCCCGTCGTTTCGGTTTCTCGTAACAGTAGCACTCTTGGATAGAATCTGACGGAAAATCTTCCAGATTTCTCGCGAAATATTGCCTGATTTCTCTCCTCGGCTTCCAACTAGTGACTCGGATTGTTGGATTCTCATTCGGTTTCCTGGCAATTCGTTCACGGTTATTACTGCGATTATTTCGACAGTCACAAACATCTAATGGCAACTCGCAACGCGAACATTTTTCGATCGGTGCTCTGCACGTGCATTTATCCTGATGATTATCACAGTACAAACAAATCATTGTCTTTTTGCAATTGCAGTTTGTTTCGACTAGGTGACAATTTACCGGAGCGAATGTAACGCAATAACATCGATCTCTTGATTTGTAACAGTTGAGGCAATTTATTGATGATCTATATCTGTTCGAATATTTCCAAATTATGAGAAAAAGATGTTTGAGAAAATATAGACTTATATACAGGATGTTTTTTAAAAAGTGCGAAAAATTTTAGATGATTCTTTGTTGAAAATTAAGAGGGGTTTTTCATATAAACATATACTCCTACATCCCTCCCTGTGAAGTTATACTTTTCCAAAAATAGAGGTAAAAATTAGGTTTTTATTTTTTAGGTTTTTAGATTTTTATTGTAATTTTGTTTTTGTTCCAATCTTCCCAACATTTACTCTAATTTTATTTTTATTTTAAAATTTAACTTCTTGTAATTCGAAACCTATATTATTTAGCATCATACTGTGCACGATAACGTATTTTATTTTTTTTTCTTGAAAACTATTGATTTTATGAAAAAAAAATAAAAGAAATAAACAAGTTTCTAAATAAATCAAACTTTTTAATCCATATTTTTAGATGATCATATTAAAATTCTAATAAAAAATTGAATAAGGGTTATTAGTTTCACCTCTTTATAATAATACGAGAGGCTGAAAAAATATTAATAAATAACCTTTTTACTAGTAGAAATTATCCACCTAATTCATTTCTTTAACTTGTTCCAAATTTGAGGAAAAAATAAAAACCTAATTTTTATCCCCATTTTTGGAGGAGTGTAACTCCACAGGATGTAGGAGTATATGTTTATATGAAAAACTCTCCTTAATTTTCGACAAAGAATCATCTCCTAAAATTTTTCGCATTTATTAAGAAACACCCTGTATATTGGAATTATCGTTTTAATTATTAAGTAATTGAAATTATTGTTTTAAATTATTTTTTAAATTTTCAAGTAAAATATTTTTTAAAATTTCTGAATAAATCTGAATAAATATTTCGATATTTATAATTATTTCTAATTTCACACAGTACCTCTCCGTAAGAAGATTCTACGTACCTGCATTTATCAATCCTTGAACAATTATTACGCATTGTACACCATTTACAATGGAGCGCAGTCCTTCTACATTCGTCCTTTATTCTATAACAATTCATGCACTTTTCCTTCAATTCGCAACAATTCACGCTGTAATGCGAATTTATATTCAACGGTGATATACTACGAAATTTAGGTTTATCAGTCTTTAAACAACTCTTCAGATATTGCGTTGGTGCGCAAGTGCATTGTGCTGTCGACAAATGACAATATGTGCAATAATTTTTTCTCTGTTCAGATTCATTGTTTTTAGAGAAACTATTTTCGAGAGTGTTTTTGCATTTTGCATATTTGGTAATCAAACATGGGCATTTATTCAGATTGGAAAATAATTCGCGTTTACAAGAGATAGACTCTGGCGATTCTTCTTCTGGTTTCTTCTGTGGACAGAGTATATCGATCGTTGTGCTTTTGGCAGTCGAGCATGAAGGGTCTTTCGGTTCAGAGGGTAAAATGCATTTACAAGGAATAGATTTTTGTGGCTCCTCTTTTAGCTCCTTTTGCGTACAGGCTACATAAGTTTCTCTTGTCCCATTCATCTCTTTTATAATTTTATTTTCATCAGTAATATCTTCTGGAATGTCTGCAGTATCTTTTGGAATGTCTTCAATACTTGTTTCCACTTCGGTAATTTTTATTTCAGGCGCAATTAATTCTTCTACTTTTATTTCTTTTGCAATTTCCGCAGGAATAGGTTCGTGCGGAACTATTTTTTCTTCTGGAATTTCTTCATGATCGACATGTTTATTTGTAGTAATAGGAATAAATTCTTTAAATTCTTGAGTTATTGTCTCTTTAGGATCAACTGTCGTTA